CTGAAGGCACGGTCAAAGTGTACCAATGGCATGGTTGAAGCATGCCGGTTAGTTTTTTACCGTCCAATCGGCACATTTGTTCCATGCCATCAGCATACTTTTACCGTTCTTTTCCGGGGCAGTGCACACACTATTTCAAATCGAAGGCATTTCTTCCGTTCTGACACTTCAGAAAGAAATACTACATGCACCAATTAAATCCTATCTTTGCACCTCTATAGTCAAGGAAATAACGCAAATGTTCTAGTTTCCATTTTCTTGAGGTATTATATTTCTAATGATGGTTGATCGCTACTATTTGTGCACGAATAGGTACTAAATTTCGCTTGTTTCTGTCGTCCATTATTTTCGTACTGGTATCATCTGCTGCCATCTAGGTTTCTTACACATGATTGCTCGTACATATACGTAATGAAAAATTCAATATGGCTGGTGTGTGTCGAACGTTCACACGTAAAGCGTCTACCATACGTTCTGGGCGTCAACGAAAATTAGTTTATATATATACAAGGTAACGCTCGTCTCGAAATGATTAGAGGTGAGAGTATGGTTGATTATTTTGAACCTGAGCAAAGCATGTTAGAACAACAATCTATAAATACAGCTAGTGTTAGTGAAAATGAGATGAGCTTTGATAATGAGGAAGATGAATTTTGTTTTAATGACATTATTAGAGATAAAAGTCGGAATGAGAAAGCAAAAGCTTTCTTACATTTGTTGAAGCAATGTAATAATGGTAAAATTATATGTGATCAAAAAGTAGTTTATGGTGATATATTATGTTTCAAAGTTTAATTGATATGGTGTATAATTTTAAATAAAACTTGGTTAATTTATTATTTTTATAATTTAACTGCTTTTATAGGTAAAAATATTAAACAATGTGTGAGTTATGATGTGTTATTAAATTGTGCAGTGCAATGAAACTATCATGCAAATTCACGTAAGCATGCATACTTTAACTTAATAATGGAAAGAAAAAAGAGTTTATGAGCTAAAGAAGATAAACAATGTAAACTTAATCAATTATTTGATATTTTGCATTTAAAAAGTCCGATATCGAATTAAAACATAAGAATAATGTTTTTGAAACATATTATTTTTATAATTTATATATATCAGCTTGCAATAATTGTTAGTCTTACGGTCACTGCTATTTATTACTTACATAAATTATCGGCCTATATAATCGTAGTTAAAAGATTCTTATCTCGTAAACTATAATATTTATAATGCATTGTGTTATATTAATGATTATGTAAATAATTTAAATATTTAAACAAAACTATATAAGACCTTGTAATCTGAATACTATTAACATATTTTTAGTATGTTCTTAATTCTCGATTTTTTAGCCTAAATGACATATCAATTCCCTGGACAAGAAACATTTCTTTTTACAAAAAATGGTGTTCCAGTATATCAAGAACCCATATTAAAGATAGGTGAACGTGTAACTTGTTTAGTTATAAAGTCAACACCGCCACAACTCCATTTACAAATAACACATATTGATAATAAAAAAACAAGTGTAAATTACAAAGCAATTCTTAGATTACAAGATTACAGGATGAATGTTGAAAATGTTCATTTGGATGATCACTTTAGGAGAGGAGATGTCTTTGATGCTATTGTTATATCATATGGTGACTCGTATGGGTGTTATGCCAGTACTATAAGCGAAGGTTTGGACATTGTCAAAGAAAATAAATTTAATTTATAAAACATAGTTATAAACTTATTTTTATATTTAATAGTATAATACAAATCATTATACTTTATTATTACTTCTATTTTTATTATAACAACTTTTGATCAATCTAAGTATATTTTTTGTCATTTATCAAAAATTCTTTTTTAAAAAAAAGAGAAAAAAAAATTTGCTAATTATTTAGTAATTATTATTGTATTATTTTACAGTCTTAAATCTGTTATATTTCTTTTGAATTGCAAAATACCCGAAAAGAATAATAATTTACAATATTAATTTCCTAACTTAGTTTATTCAATTTTTAAATTGTCAATTTCAGCTAAAACACTGCTTAACTCCATAAATGGATTTCTGACTACTTCCTTTTGTTCCCACAAATCAGGCGTATAAAAATTACTTGCCCTATCCAAAGCCATAACAGCTGCCTTTACTAAATTTTCATTAGTTGCCGTATTTCCCTCTGTACTTGTAAAAATGTCCTTCACACCAGCTAATTGAAAAATTTTCTTAGCCACACTGCCTGCCCTAATGCCACTGCCTCTAGGTGCAGGAACAACTCTCAAACTGACACTTCCACATTTGCCAGTGCTCTTTACACTTACGGTATGTGGTTCACCAAACTTGTCACCCCAATAACCCAACTTAACAGGTCTTATGTTGCACTTTGCTTTCAATATTGCACCTCTTATAGCAGTTGCTGCTTCCTTGGCAGCCTTAACACCTAAACCTATGTATTCCTTTCCATCTCCGATAGCAACAACAGCCTTTATACGAGTTCTTTGACCTGCTTTTGTTTGCTTCTGAACACTTTTTATAACTAACACTTCTTCCTTTAGGTTTTTGAATAAATGATCAACTATTTCTGGTTCTTTGATGCGCATACTAAACTGGAATATTTTGGCAGCATCAACAAATCCTTGTTTTACTAGATGACCTAATTTTGTTTTTGGGTGCCATTCGGGTGCTTGTCTCTCTTGAAATCTTCTTTGCTCTCTTGGTTGTTGCATTGAGGGTTAAAAAAATAAAAATAAGAATAATATTAGTAGCATAAAAAGATTGGAGTCAACACTATAAGATCTAGCAAACGTTCAAATTTTATTATTTATTTATATATTTCAAGTCTATATTTTTATTACATTAGAAATATTAATATGGTGATAAGTAAAATGAAAAATTGACCGAAAAAACAATTTACATAGCTATGCTGTATAATCAGCATATTTCTCGAAAATAAATGAAACAAAAATCATATTCCATATCAAAATTTTTATTAATACTAGCATTCAAATGAAAAAGAAAGACTGAATGTATGTTTTAGGAGTATTAGATTTATAGTATAAAAAATTTGATTAAAGTACTTTAAAGTGCCGAAAGTAATTCGCATTAGAAAAAATAAAAATTTAAAAAAATGAAAATTTTTGTGCCGAAAGTAAGTCGCATTAAAAATTCTTTAAAAAATAAAGTCAAAAGATAAATGTAAGTATCATATTGTATATCAAAGCATTCAATGATTTTTTTTTCAATTTAAATATTTGCAGCTTTAAATGAATTTCTTATCATTTCAGAATCAATGTTTTTTAAACTACATTCGACCCACTGACATAACATTTTTTTACTTAAATTCTTTCTTTCTTCATAGAAATCAGTGCAATTATCCATCCATGTAACATATTTGTCCTGCATGCGTGATTTAAAAGGTTTTATTATTGAGATATCGGGTGGCTGCAATAAATCAGTAAAGCCTGATGGCACAAATACAGCATGAAGATTCTTTTCCTTAAGCAGATTTATAATAGCAACCTTTTTATGCACGCAAAAAAATCCATTATTAATAATTTATTTTTTTTGCTATACCTTTGTATCTCATATCAATAATGTTAGGAAATAATTGCTCTTCAATATCAGGAAATAAATATTTACATTCACAACCATTTTTATATGAATTTATTGGTTGTAATTTAATTTTTTCGATGTCAGAGCACCATTTTTGCAGTGTTCGTGTATTTATACCCTATCTTTAGCAAATTCATTAAGTGATCTTTTAGATTTTAGTGCTTTATTGGCAAATTTCACCTTTGTTTTTGTTTTATATTGCATTCTCATTGGACTTGAAGGTACTTCAAAATTATTCATAGGGTTTATAAAATAAAAATTTTAGTGCCGAAAGTAATTCGCTATTTTTTTAACCCCCGCTTACTTTCGGCACTTTAACGTAAATTGCAATAGCATAAATTCTAACATGACCCATAATTTAAAAAATCAGGTTAAGTATGGCCAATAGTTTTGTGAAATACAATGAAAATGAAAAGCTGCGAAAAATTAATATACTTGCGAATGAGCTAGTACTAAAATACAAGTGTGAGACAAAGATTACTCCTGTAGTGATGACGTGGGAAGGTGTGGTAATAAAATTTTTCAAGCGATATGTGAAAGACATAGGCCTGTCACCTGAAACAGTGGCATATATGCAGCGATTAGCACTCAAGAAAACTCTTGAGCTTGTTTCCTTAGAGTATCGTAGGAGCATAGAAGATAGTTTAGAGAAAGAAAATAGTGTTCATGAGGCTGTTGAAAGGTTGTGTAGTGCGGCTGGAGGTGAAAGTAATCTGTGAAAATATTTTATAAAAAGATATTAACCCAAAATTAATAAAAAGTAAAATTGTGAGTGACAATATTGACTTAATTTTAACAAAAAGTGCAGATTTGTTATGAAATGTTTACAATACTATAGCTAAAAATTAATAAAGCATATAAATTTTTTTAAGGTTAGAAGTAGTTTTACTAGTTCACCCTGACAAAATTTGCAATAAGTTTATTAAGTTTTTATTATAGCGAATTCATTAATAAAAAAAAGTTCTTTAAAAGTATGAAATTTAAGTTTTCATAATAGATGATTTATATGTATAACAAGTTTTTAACAAATATATATGATTAAACTTTTTTAATCGTAAAATATCATCAGATACAATTTTTTAATAGATATTATATTTTAGTCATTCTATAGTGTTTAATTGAAAAGATTTTGTCATATGTTTACATAATTCTTTTTGTAAGGCTTGATTTTATCTTACTTTCTACTAAATGCAAAATAAAACACTATATTGATAACATACTATCTTTTATATACGCACTTAAAAAACTTATTATAGCATTTATGTAAACTTGTTTTAACGCTTAGACATATAGAATATTAGGATAACTAATTTTTATTATAAAGTCTTTTTCTTAACATCATTAAACATCATATAAACTATCAAAAATGCTAAACACAAATGTGTTTATTCAATTCAATGAAAAACATTGATATAATAACATACTTACTATTTTTGTCATGATCTTTTTCAAAATATTTCAAAAAATATTTTAGCTCATTAACAGTTCTAATCATGGCTGGCAATTTGATGTTCATGTCTGTTATCTTGCCACCAAGATCACCAACATTAACACTTTTCTGTGCCTTAATAATCTCTTTTAGTTCATTTATCTTGGATTTCTCACTTTTAAAATCTTCAATAACTCGTCTCAAGGCGGAGGCAATTGTAAATTTTTGCGGCTCGCCCATCAAATATTTAAAGTACGCCATAAAGTAATCTAAATGGCTAATTGTATTTTCTACTTCATGATCTGAGTCATATTCGATGTTAAGTTTCATTCTAGGCCTATATGTTTCATGTTCTTTTCTTGAAAAAACATTAAATTTTTGCAATACAAAGTGCTTGTCGTTGTCAACATTATCGTAATGGCTTGTTATAGTGAAATGTTTGCCCTTGCCTAGATCACCTAAAACATCTGTATTGTAGAAGCGCAATGCATCGTAAACTAATTCATCATCCTTATAAATTTCTACTTTTAAGTTATTTTTTGTGTATATAAGTTTTAAGCTCATAGTACCAGTAACATTTTTCATAGGCAATGTTTCTCTTAGTATAAAGTCTTCATATTGTGAATAATCATTGCCATCAATCAAGGCTGGTATTATTTCAACTGAATTGGCATCAAATTCTATGCCTGCCATGATGCCTTCAAAAACACCACTTGTGCTGTAAAACTCGCCTGTATCAATAGCACTGTTTGTATACCATAAAATAATATTGGCTTTTTCTTTAAAGAATGGTTTGATTGGTTTAAATGTTAACATTGCAGACCATTCATCATTTGGATTTTCATGATCAAACTGTATAAAAGTTCCTTCTCCATTTACACTGCGTAATAAATAAGTGTTGTCTTGCTTTTGTATGTTTTTTAGTACCTTTGTCTCTATCAGTGTTAATTCATTATCAAAACCTGGTACATGTTTTTCTGTGATAGTTGCTAATATTGATTGTAAAAGTAACATGAAAGACACCAAATCTTTGTTTATATCTCAAATATGAAACAAGTATCAAGTTTATTAATAAACAATTCTATTGTAAAAACGTATCTCATTGTTTTAAGGAACTGGGAGCATCTGCTAGTATATATATGGCGGCGATGCGTTGGTACTCAAACGTTTAAGGTTATTGAACGAAGCATAACTGTTCAATTAATTCCCCATTTGTGGTCCGCATGGGAAGATTTATTTAATTTATTTGACTTATTTAATTGCCACCGAACAAAAAGTTTGTAAAGATCAAAAAGTTATTTTCGAATCTATTAGATAAAATAAATTTATTTCTTTAGCTTCACAGTTTGAATTTGCCCGAACATTGGATAAGAAATGTGTTTTATGCACGTTGTTACATTGAATTACATAAACCGGAATTATCATATTTATATGCAAAGAACTGAATATAATTGGTTTTCAAAATTCAACATATATTCTATTACAACAAGCTACAGCGTATGAAAATGATGCAGGTAATGACACGGAGTATGATAAGAAAACATTTTCCATCATTAATCATGTTTTCTACTATCTATTTTAGAACTACAATTGGCTCGTTCATGTTGTGAAGATGCTCGTATAATTGAACCGTATAATCTTGATTCTATGGATGTTTATTCAAATATACTATTTGTATTGGTAAGTCAACTTACTCATGACCATAAATTCTCTTGACTATTTTCAATATCATGGGTAGAATGGGAAAAATTGATTAACTAAAAAAACAAGCATAAAACTGACATCACATTGTTGATTCTATAGTTTCTTTTTCTTGAATTTATTGAAGGAAAAAATCATGCGGCAGCTATTAATGTCTATATAAACAAAAAGCAATAAGTGCATCGGTGGCATCAGGTAAGATGAGAGAAACGCGAAACATAGAAAAGCATTTTGGTCACTTCATTTCCTGCTTTTCGTTTAGCTTCGTCGTCAACAACTCAAGTTCAACAGATATCGGCATTAGTAAATTTAACAGGCTTATCCAAACATATCTTACCATAATGCTATTTCTTGTTTTCCTACGCAGCAGTATCTTTTGTTTGTGTGGTATTTATTTCTGAGTTTTCACCAGTTTTTTGTTCTTATTCGAAACTTCAGTAAGACAGATTAAAATCGAAATAATGTGCAGAAATACAAACGTTTTTGCATGCTCGAGTTTAATTTCGAAGAAAATAATTTATCATTTTGTTGTTGTTTATGTTATTTTAAATAAAAATGCTTACATTTACATTTTCCACTTCATATTCAAAAAAACAAAAATGTCACATATTAAAATAAACGCATAGAAACACTGGGAAAAAGAGAATTTCATTCTTTATGAAAAAAATACAACTCTTCGCCAAGGTTCGTTGTGCGATTATTTGGCTTCTATTGTCTGCGTTCTGCTTTTTTTCCAGATCCTTATGTCATCAGAATACGCATTAACAAACAACGAAATGTATATCATAACTGTACACCGCTGTTTCAGAATTAAGGTTGTACAACTCATAAATGATCTTAATAATCGTCTTGATAGATGCATCAAAACACGAGAGCAGGATATAACAGTCATGGTTAATGAACATTTTAAAACAGACTAAACGAAATCAACTATACATGATCTTAATATCCGATTAGATAAAGGAGAAATGAAAGAACTAATTCATACATGTGATGTTGATCAACTGCTCGCCAGTTATATTTCCAGTCCAGTTACCGACACAAATGCAACAATCATTTGTTTAAAACCGTTCACCGACAACTGTCTCAAATGTAGTCAACAACTGAAAATAGCATTCAAACAATATGTTGATGTTTATGGTTTGACTTCAGTTACGAAAGGTGCAGCTTATGCTTCTCATTGTACCAAGTGTCATCATAAATATTATTCTAATTACTACGAAAAAATAACCTCAGCCCAAAAACTCGTAACATCAGCCTCAATTTATGACCAAGACTTTATTTATTTTGGCGGTGGAAAGGCTTATTCATTTGAACTATTGATACAGTTTACATCGATATTTCTTCGTCAGTATTCCGGTTTCGAAAACTTTCAGCATTCCAATAATTTGACGATCAAGAAATGTTTTAAATTGGCTACGAAGCAAAAATTGGTAGGCGTTTTACTATCAATTAAAAGATTTTGCAACACCAAACATATCAGCTCCTTTCAAAAGAGCTGTTCAAACATATCAGCTCCTTTCAAAAGAGCTGTTCAAACATATCAGCTCCTTTCAAAAGAGCTGTTCAAACATATCAGCTCCTTTCAAAAGAGCTGTTCAAAC